GTACAAGAACCCAGAAAACACAAATAATGTAAGTTAGATGGTCACATGACTTTGGATTAAGTAAATTCCATGTGTTTTTTTAGGAAAATAACGAAAATTTAGCAATTACAAACACTGTTTCGGAGAAAATTAAATTTTTCAATTACAATTTGACTTAAAATAATAGCTTGATTAGGAAACACACCCAATAAACACTTTACAACCGCCCGCTGCATCATCATAACCAAAAAATCAAATGTAAACACTACACTGACTAAACGACTAAACAGCTGGATCAGTGGAACTGACACTCTTTTGGCAACACTAAAATTTGTACCATGAAGTTTTAATGTAATAGTCGAGATTTGCCATTTGATTTTGATGCTATCACTGAGCTCTGATGAGATTTTTACTACGAAAAAAATCAGGGTAAGTATTCCAAAGGACTTTAATTTTAAAGGACCAAACACTCGTTTATAGTATCGTATTAGACCACGGCCACCTCTTACTTAAAGGTGGCCGTGATTAGACTAAAAAAGTGTATATATCAACGAATTCAAATTTTAGTAATTTTAGCATGACCCTTTCTTCTGTAAAATGCAATTTCAGCCAAATAGCAAACTTCTTGGCTTCATTTTTCGAACAACAAAGGACATCAGGAACCCTCTACACTTATAATCCTCTACAAGACTTTTGGTACGTCCCGTGATGGAATACTGCTCTGTTGTCTGGTCTCCATATCAGTCTTTGCACATCGATATGCTAGATAAGATACAAAAAAGATTTTTAGACTGATTGGTCTCAGACTGGGGTACCACTTTCAGGATGTCCCTATTATCACCCTGGAGAAATACTATGATTTGCAACCACTCAGTGTGAGAAGGAGATGTTACGACCTGCAGTTTCTCTTCAAACTCGTGAATGGTATCATCGACTGCGCATCTTTGCTGGATAATATAGAATTCTCTGCCCCTAGCCTAGAGGAACCAGATCCAAATCGTTATTCGCCAGAGGGTTCCAAGCAAGAAATTACTCCTACCATCTCGTGATGTCCAGGTTTCTGAGGTTGGGCGGAGAGGCTTCGACTCACATCGACTTCTTCGGGCTCCTCATTCAAGAAGGACGCCTCAAGATATTTACTCGAGGGAACGTCTTAAAAGAATTTTCCTGCCTTCCTGTGGGAGCAAGTGATGTGTAGTGCCTGTTTAAGTGGTGCCTTTAAAGGGCCACAACTTTGTTTTGTTTTTGAGGCTGGTGTTACCTCAGCAAGGTGCAGTGCAAGCTAGGTGGTGCCTTTAAAGGGCCACAAATGAAGTTGGTGCTTTTTAGCATGGTGTATGGTGTTGACACAGTGTCCTTTCCATGTCATGCATTCACACACACTCCCACAAATTATACTTTTGTAATCTTCTGATGTCTCTTATTATTATTTTCACAGTTTATAATATGTTATCTTTGTTGCCATAGTCTATTTTTCTTGGTCTTATTTTATCGTTGTTGTTATTGCCTGTTGTAAAGTTACCATCATTTAGTAGACTATGCCTAGTAATAATGGTAACAAGTAACAAGCAGTAATGAATCATTACATTACTGCTTGTTACTTGTTACGATTATTACTAGACATAGTCTACTTTGTTAGCGAATTTCCCATATAGGGAATAAGCTATTACCGTAGGTCTCATGGTAAGACCTAGACCCGGGACCGATTTACTTTTCGTTTTGAGGTCCCCAGAGGCCAAAAACACCATCCGTTCAAATTCATCCTACTAATATTATAAATGAGAAAGTTTGGATGTATGGATGTATGGATGTATGTTTGTGACAAGTGAACGCGAAAAATACTGGTCGGATTGGGCTGAAATTTGGCAGGATGATAGCTCACATTCCCGATTAACATATAGGCATATTCTTATTTCAAAAACCCTTTCAGGCTCCGCCCCAGTGGCTCTTGAGTTTCCCATGTTAACCTTATGAGAAATGGAATTATTGAATCTTAACAGCTGTTTCAATTAAACAAGTTGGTTCTGTTCTATGATGTTCAATAGCATTAAAGTTAGAAGGATTACCAACAGGATGCAGCACTATTATTTCTTTTACATTTATGACAACAGCTAATTTGCAACCAAAAGGTGAGTGAGCGTAGCGAACGAACTTCAACCTGGGGGCGAGTTAGCGTAGCGAACGAGCTAACCTGAAGGTAAGTGAGCCTAGCGAACGAGCTCCAACCTAAAGGTGAGTGAGCGTAGCGAACAAAATTCAACCAGGACGTGATTGATTGAGCCATGCCACGAACGAGATAATCTTGAAAATTAAGAAGTTAAACGGGGCAAAGCCCGCGGGTTGCAGCTAGTATATATATATATATATATATATATAAATTTATATATGTGTCCGTTAGCGCGATAACTCGAGCAAAATTGATCCGATTTTGATGAAATTTGGTACAAACGTGTAAACCAACATTTATTCGAACGAGTTCGCGAACCAGCATAATCGGACCATGGGATCAGGGGTTTATGGGGTAAAAATGGGTTTTTCTCATTTTTGACCCTAAAAACTTAAAATTTCTAAATTTCTCTCTAGACCATTTTGAAGAGCTTAAAAAAACAAAATAATTTAGTATATTGAAGTGTTTTTGAATGTTCATTGACTACGGAGAAAATTTAAAAAATTGTAAATTTAAAATTCCCATGTTCTTATGGAGAATAAATAAACTGTAAGTTTGCTTGTTTATGGATATATTTTAATCAAATTTGGCAATTTGGTTTATTTTATACTAAGCTATCAATATTTCAATTGAAAAAACACATCTCAACATCTTCCCCGTAGCAGCAAACCTAACTACTCACTAAAATTAATGTTATTTAAATAGGAAATAAATCTGAAAATTTATAGGGAATATTTTAGTAGAAATCAAGCCGGGTAAATGGAAATTCGCTTAGGATGCAGGTTTGCTGCGACGGGGGTATTGTTATTTATTGTAGTTCTTAGGTCCCATTCATGTTTATTGTCAGCTTCCATATCTATATAATTAATACGCTACATGAAACTTTGTCGGTTGAACTCCTCCGCCATTTCTTAACCGATTTTATCCATTAACGTCTCATTGGAAAGAGCGTGTCGCGTAGATTTGCAAACTGGCCTTACATTTTTGAAAAATCCCTCGGGCTCTGCCCCAGTGGCTTTGAAAGTTCCCATGTTATCCTTATGGAGAACATAATTGTTTACATTTTGATCAGCTGTGTAATTTAACTGCTGTTATTTATTTTTCAATGCAAGGAAACGCATTGAGTACATTTATTTACAATTTGAGTTTGTCCCCCATAACCCCCAAGACGGATCGTGGTTGTATCTTAAATTTGTGTATTTATCGTTGTTTTGTGTAGCTATAATTTGTTTATTTGTTGTTTTTTTCTTTTAAATGCCTCCGACGCGACGACAACAAAACATAGACAGGAGGCGTAATCGTGATAACGACCGTAGCTACAGAACATGCAGTGGCGCGTAATAGGCTTAACTCATCATAGCCAACACCTGATGACCCTGGACAATCTAAACTATTAAGTTACAAATGCGCCCTAACACTACCCCAAAACGACTTTTCGTTCTCAATTGGCCCTCTATCAATGACCTGTGTTGCCTGTACAGCGAGGCATTTTAAGAAAGAGAAAACCGGCCGGAATGCTTTAGGTTTATCAATAGGTAACGAAGATAAACATGGTCTGAGTTACACACCGGTAATCTTTGAGTTGACTCTTTTAAACTCATCGTAAATATGACTATTATTCGTTTTGAAATAACTCCTGTAATACTTTGCAATTGCTCGAACTCGAGCAACATGTACACTAGTTTATTATTATTGCACGATTTTGTTACCACTATATTAACTTATTATTTGCTACTTGTTCATAATTTTAATTAGCACGAATTACGATTTTCGAACTTTCATCTTTAGAACTGTCATCTTGTAAATCTAGTTTTTAGACAAAATTGTATAAATGGAGAAACCGTTGGAATAAATAAATAAATAAATAAATAAATCCCACGAATGACTTTGCAAAAATAAATGGTGATATCAAATCAAATCAAATATTCCTTTATTGCCAGTTAACGATAATCACGATACATGCATGGCTTGCGTCACAATTTTGAAATAAAATACATAATAAACAATGACATAGCTACACTACTACACATTTACAGAAACACATCATGCCTAAAACAAATAACATATTATGATGAGTTGTAGTTAACATAATCTTTTACGCTGTATAAACTATTTTCTAAAAGAAATAGTTTGAGTTTACGTTTTAATTCCCTAATATCACTTACTGACTTAAGATTTTCAGGCAGTGAGTTGTATAGCATGATGGCATTGTAAAAAGCATGTTTTTTTGAAAAAGGAGGTTTTGTGGTATGGGATGTTCAATTCAATTTGGATTTTTTTCTCATGTTGTATCTGGATTGGGGAATCAGAATCAAAGGTTCAAAAAAACTATGGATGGTGATAGATGGTACTTATTCAAATATAATATTATTCCTTGGTGAAAACTCTTAATATGTGAAGCTACATGGCATTATTTCATGACAGGACAGACGTAATAATAACTTTTCTCTTCTGTTTAGTGCGGTTTACTACATTTATTTATTTACTTTTTTTTTGTAAATTATTCAAATTTATAGGTTACAAACAAAACAAATCTGTATACTGTCACTGTCATTCATTCATTTATTACTGTCTTACTTAAAATTATTGTTTTGTTTTAATGTTTGCATTTTGGTGTAAGTGACAAGTAAGTATCCCATGTCCCATTTCAACTATATCTTATTAGAGTAGTTGTCAACTGTCGTCAGGCTATCACAACAATTAATTTGCTTGCAGGTAAAGTTAGGGCCTCATTCAATTTCAAATAACACTCTAGAGTAAGCCATTTGATCTAAATACATTGTTTTATATAGCTAGCTGATGGGTGAAAGTGGTTGTGTCATGTATTTTCTATCCATCTAGCCTACAATGGCGAACATTTTTTGATATGGTTTCAAGACACTGTTGCAATCGTAAGCTGTATACCTAGTTTAGAGTTTACTAAGTAGCCTAATCCTAAGGTTGTGTTTAACCTAAAAAAATATGTATGCCTAGGCATAATTAATTAATGCTTGGTGAAACTGGGTCAAGCTGTCCTTCAGTAAGTGATCTTTATATAAAATGTTAAAACATTATCAACAATAGGCCTACTAGTTAAAAGGTATTGCTAGCCTAGTGCTTATTGTCTCTGACTATGGTGCGCAGGGTTGTCACCTCTCCCGGTTCTGTCGGGACAGTCCCGGTTTCGGTCCCTTGTGCCTGTATTTAGCCAAAGTTAATCCTTACTTGCTATTTCCTTATCGTTTGGACACAGGGCAGAACTTTGAGAATACAGGCTTCACATGTGGTGCAGGCTCTGGGATCCTCTGGGGTTTGGGGGATATGGAATTCCCCTCTCCCCATTATAATTGCAGGGGGGTCTGGCTTTCCCCCAGGAAAATTTTGAGGAAAAGAGGGCGAAATGAAGATTTTTATAGGGATTTTGTGTCAAAAGTTCATTTTTTCTGTCCTTAACATTTAATAATAATAATAATGCTTCGCCATTTGTTTGTTAGGCTAGGCATACATAGTTGATAATACATTAGAAACCTTTAGCCTAATATCGTTAAGGTTTTAACTTGGGTTATTTAAGGTCAAGCTTACCCACAATAGTAACATAGCCCAACTATTTTGCATTGGAAAGTCAATAAGAAAAGCAAAATCCAATATTTAGTAGCCTGCTGTATTTAGATAGGGTAGTCTTTTATTGAGGAGGCCTATGTAGGCCCTACAATGATGCAGTGGGATAGGAACCCGTAAGAACAACGTTCTCTCCACTTTTTCCAATCATCTTTTAAAGTAACTTGCGACCTGTGATTTTTCCGAGTCATAACTCAAGAATAGCTGTATAAGTTTTTATGATTTTAAATAAGGTAAGTGCCCCAAATACCGACAATGTACTAAATACCGACACAGCCACATTTCATAACAAAACATAATGTCCTTGTCGTCTCTACCGGCTATATTGTAAGCCAGATGCGTTTGCGATGTTTTTTTCTACAAGTAAGAAGAAGAAGATATGAGTTCCCTCCTTTTCTGAGTTCGTTATGACAAGTTTCGTCTGCCGGTGCACGACTACGGTGATTTCAGGTAAGAATCTTACAGGTTTTCACTACGAACATTGGGATTTGCTTTAGCGAATAAGTAATTTGTCATATATGTGTTAGTATTAACTTTAATATTTATGTGAATCTAGATACTTAGGTTTTTAAATGTGTAATTCAAATCTTGCTTTTAACGGTTTCTTGTAATTTTTTGGCCGGTGTCGGTATTCAGAGCAAGTTTTCGTCATTTTGCCAAATACCGACATGGCGTTGTCGGTATTATTTTCATGAATAATTTACGAAAAAAAATACCGACACTTGACTTTAAAACATGTTTTGCTATCGTATTTCATATTTATAATCATGTATAGCATTTTAATATGCTGTGGTCTTAGTCGTTTTTGTCCTTTTTCTAATCACGTTTTATTTTTATTTTTTAGAATGCCTCCAGCGAAAACGCCACCCCCGAAAAAAAGGAAGCAATATGCAGACGAGGACATGCAAAATGCCATTCTGGCTGTAAGAAGTGGTGTGGAGACAACTTCGTCGGCGGCCAAACGTTTCGGTGTTCCTCGAGTGACCCTTCTTGACAAGATCAACGGCCGCTATGAAGAGAAGTGCAAGCTGGGGAGAAAACCTCTTCTGTCAGACGTCGAAGAGGAAGTTTTGGTCCAATGGGTTCTGGCTTGTAAAACAAAAGGCTTTCCAGTCACTAAAGAGCAACTTATATTCAGTGCTGGTCGCATGCTTGCCAAATCAGGAAAGCCGAACCCATTTGTCAATCAAAAGCCTGGTAGACGTTGGTACGAATTGTTTATGGGCCGCCACAAGAATCTGGCAGTCCGGGAGTGCCAGACTCTGACAACTTCCAGAGCTGCCATCACTCAAGAAAGTGTGGCCTCTTGGTGTGCCGAAGTGAAGACCTACTGCCAAGAAAACGATTTGATGGACATATTCCAAGACCTTCGTCGGGTTTTTAACTGCGACGAAACTGCATTCTTTTTAAGTCCCAAAACGGGGAAAGTTATTGCAGCCAGAGGGGACCGAAGTGTGTACAACATATCTGGAAACACAGACAAGGAAAACGTCACAGTTCTAATGACTGTGAGAGCAGATGGGGAGGTAGCACCACCAATGATTCTATACGCTTACGAGAGAATCCCTTTGCAAGTAGGGATGGCTGTGCCAGATGGGTGGGGTTTGGGGAAGAGTGAATCAGGTTGGATGACATCTGAAGCTTTTTTTGAATACATGGCCAACACATTTGAACCTTACCTAACTGCAAATAATATTCCGAGACCTGTGATAATGTTCATGGATGGCCACGTATCACATCTGTCTCTTGAGCTTAGTGAGTTTTGTACCTCAAAGAAGATTGAACTTGTCGCCCTTTTGCCCAATGCTACACATCTGCTGCAGCCTCTAGACGTCGCGGTTTTCCACCCACTGAAAAATGCGTGGAAAAAAGCAGTGTCCCAATGGAGGTTTGACCACTCCTCACAAAAGCTAAAGAAAGAAGACTTTCCTCCGATGCTGCAGTCAGTGATTGAAAGGACAATCAAGCCAGAAACCATTCAGAATGGTTTTAAAACATGCGGTCTAGTTACGTTAGATGTCAATGACATTGACATGACCAAAATTGTAGGTAACTTGGCCCAAAACCCAAAACCCCTAACACAACAGTCTAATGTAGAAACCGAGAGAGTAAACATCTGCCTCGCTCATCTTGAGAAGAAAATAGGCCATGACAGGTTAAAGGCGTTTAGACATGGTGGACCTATAAAGCGTCGTGATGAATCGCTGTATGAAGTGTGGAGGAGCATTCGGCAAGACCTTAAAACAAGCATTGACCAAAGTAATTGTAGTGATTCTAACAAAACTACAAACTCTGTTGAGGAACATCGACCTCTTGATTTTGTAAATAGTACCCGCATGGATATGGAAGAGGTTGTCTGCAACGACCCAGACGACCCAGATGATCCAGATCCAATGATGCCCACAACAATCCAACAAGAGCCAAACGTCCTCATCGATTGTTCATCAAATATTGAATTAGAGGAAGAAATATTTGTGGACGAGGGACTTTTTGAAGATCTAGGATTGGATGTATCAATGGGTTTGGAACTCGATCTCCCTGTTACCGTGGTGTCCGAACCTGTTCAACAAATCCCTGCCAACATTGGATCGACCCCACCTGTAACATGTGCCAGGGCAGTTACCCCTACATCTCGGCCATCGACATCTGTTCAAGAAGACGCCCAGCCATCTACATCTGCTGTCCAAGAGGACACAAGCAGTATTCCGTCGCCCTTCAAAGACTGCGTATTTTGGCCTGGGCCCAAAAAGGAATCTGGGATTAAAAGGAGGACAAAAACGGCAAAAGTCCCTTCAGTAATAACATGTATAAAATGGAAGGAGTACCGAAAGACATTGGTGGCTGAAAAAGAAAAAAAAGAAAAGGAAATGGAAGAAAGAAGACAAAAAAGAAGAGAAAAACAAGAAATGAAAAAAGTGGCCATGAAAATTAAAAAAGAAAAGGTCAGTGGGCCTAGAAAAAAGACTGAAAAGGAAGATGTTTCCCCACTTTCGTCCGACTCCGAAGATCTAGGATTGGATGTATCAATGGCACCAAGTGCATTCAACATCGACAAGGTGCCTGTGAATCCGAAGCTCTGCTTCGAGGACTTTAGTGTTGGGAAGTGGGTGATTGTTCCATATGGCACCAAGCGGTACATAGGCCAGCTACTTGATGTCAACGGCGAGGAGAAGACTGGCAATATACAATTTCTTGCCCAAGTAGGAGATACATTCGTTTGGCCAGAGAATGACGACGTCGACGAGGTTCCTCTCGACGAAATTGTCACAATTTTAAGTGAACCAATTTTTGATCGGCGTGGACATTATAGATTTCAGTTGTAAGAGATAGAGAGTGTGTGTGTTTGCTTGAGTATTTTAACATTTGTACAATATTTTAAAGCATTCTAAGATCTGTGTGTGTGTGTGCGTGTTTTATTTTTATATTTTCTATTTGTATTTGTTCTTCTATTTGTCTGTGTATATTTCTGTAACTGTACTTCTGTAGCTGTATTTCTGTATATGTATGTATTTGTATTTTCTGTATGTTTTTGTAAATAATATCTTAATACTAAGGGTAGGCCAATCCAAAATGTAAACTTAAATACGTCAATGGTTTTAAGTTACTTTTTCATGTTTCATTAAATACTTACTTGTTCCAGTTTTATTGGAATTATATTTTACCAAAGAAGTCATACAGTACTATAATTGAATAAGTTAAACACAGAAACTTGCGTAACAGCTTATCAAGTAGGCAGCTCCAGCTGTAGACAGCATTGCCAGCGTCAGTCGCGTCGGCTGCTGCTGCTGCTCTTACATCGTAGTGAATTTTCATCAGATGTCGATATATGTTTACAATTTCGCACATAATTAATACAGAGACTACTTAATTTACATTTGCCAAACATAAACAAATTTTTACGTACTTTGTCTAAGTGGTTTTCAATAAAATTGGGAAGTAAGTTACCATAGTTACCGTAAGTTGGAGAATGTTCAAGTCTTAACTTTTACTTTTTGGGATGGATAGGGACAAAATATTGAAATAAAGTTGTGGAATAGGTTAAATGAATACACAAACTTCAATAAAAATACTTTATTATGATGATAATGTTCCTGTTCTCTCTTAAATTGGTGTTAAAATGATAATGTTGGTATTTAGGACATGAGGTGTCGGTATTTTGTTTCATTGCTGTCGGTATTTCCAGAAAAGTACAAAGAGTGTTTCCCCAACTTTAAGATGCTTAAAAACTGTTAATTGGATGTTTTTCTTTTATCTATTTATGTAATCTGAGAGTTTATATCATGGCAAAATTATTAACTCCATAATACTCAAGCTTAACATAACCTATAATTATTTATTTGCAGATGTAAACTTGAATTGAGTCTTAGGGTGTTGGTATTTGGGGCATTTACCTTAGAGATCCCTTTTGCAATTTCGGTGATCTTCTTCTTTGCATCACACGATTGTAGGGTCATCATCATCTTCTGGTATCGCCTCAATAGCACACAGCACATTTTAAATTTAAAAAATAGTTTAAATTGAAGAATTTCAATCTTTATATTTTTCAACAACTTTAACGAATGGCTATCATATCACACTATTAATATTCACTGTAGATGTTAGCCTCTGGATTGCCAAATAATATTAAAAAGGTTCAAATACCTGCTATTAAGCAATCCAATCTTGTTGCGAATACAACTAGTTTCAGCTCCTTGTGGAGCCATCATCAGGCTGTACAAGGACGTTTTTCTTTCTTCATATGAAGAGCGTCATATTATGCAACATGAAAATAAATAAAAAATTTAAACACGACACAAACACAAATACAAAACATTTATGGTTACAACTGATCAGTTAAGAAAACGGACGACACTAACCCGGATGAGTTTGAGTCCAGAGTGTCAAAAGTCTCAAAAGAGTCTTAAACATTTTAAAGAAAAAAAAACCCTAAGGCTACCCTATAGAAAAAGATAGTCAGAAAGTAAAAATTTTTAGGTTTTTTTTTGTTTTTGATTACTACTGTACCTCAATTGTCATTTGACAGGTTTGTTGAATTGACAATTCTTTAACAACAAATTGAAATTTAAGAGTGAGGTAACTTGATTTCACCAGGTAATATTTTTTGCCTAGGTAGTTCTTTACAGTTTGTGAGTAGGATGTATTTACTGTAATTGGTTCAAGTTTGTTTAGTATGTAGGCTTTAAAATGTATATGTTTTCTATCTATTTTGTCTAACCATTGAAAATTTTAAATAAAATCCTCATTTCAGATCACTACCCTAGTTCTGTTATATGGATGGATACACAGTTAAATAAACTACTTCAAGATGAAAGTGAAGATGATATACTTGCTAGAATCCAAGAAGAAAGTCTCAGGTAAAGACACATCTCAGTTCTCTTGTCGAAGAGAAAATTAACAAATAAGTTAGTATATTCTTTAGCCTATATTATATTTGAACAAAAGTTTGTTCTTTTAGGGAAATTGTCATTAGGGATTATCCATTACCATACTCTTTTTCGCAAGACTTTAGGTCTGCTTTAACGTACATTTTTGTTTTGGATTCCCAGAAGCCATAAGCTTAGTTTTCTCGATTTATTATGTACCGTATACCTAGGTAAGTTAGGCCTTTAGTACTCTAGTAAATTACCTGGATTCAGAGTATCTGGATGAACCAATCAAATAAACATTATGTAATTGAGTGAGTTTGCAAACTAGTGTGATTCGACCATGGAAAGCGTAGCCTAAGTTTCTTTTTAACCAAGCCTTGTTTTATTTTTCAGATATTTTAATGAGGTTGAACTTCCCAGAAGAGCCGCCGAGCAAAAGGAAAAAGAAAAGAATGAGGTGATTGTTCCCAAGCAGCCAGATGTTTTCCAACCACAACCTCATTGTTCAAAACAGGAAGATCAGTGGTCAGTAAACGTTTTAAATGTTCCTAATGTCATAAACAGCATAATTAACCCCCAGTCTGGATTTTAAAGGTGCTAATCTTTATGAATTAAAACTTAAGCCACAACTTTAACCTTTTGGACTGAACATACTCAAATGAACCATTCAGGTAGCCTACTTTTAATTTTTTAAACAAATTATACCCAATAAGCGGATGTTTTCCAGTAATGCGTCATTCACACCTACACCAGCAACGGATGTGTTCTACCAAGCTCCAGGTCAAGGTGCTGACGGGTTCCATTTAGCAGCTGGCGAGACTTACGTCTACCCGACCAACTATCCTGTGAGACAGTACCAGAAAACCATCATCCATTCAGCTCTCTTCCACAACACCCTCGTCAGTCTGCCAACTGGTAAAGTGTAAACTGGTAATCTACTAATGGCACATGCGATTTGCAAAAACATTAAGAAAAGAAAGTACTGAAAGTTTTAGTTTACTGGGTGTCTACAATTCCTGAATATCCCCGATCTCCTAGAACAGTACCTAATAGTTTGGTCTCGGATGTTCTTGAAAACCGACGAAATCTCTTTATGTAGGCCTATCCCTAGATTTTGTAATTTGACAATGTTCAATATTTTTACCAAGCAAGTAATAAATTTTCTGAACCATGAGAATTTTCTCCGCTGATGTATTAAGTTTTTACGCTGAGATTTTGGGCATAATAAGTGAGGTTCATCTAATTTCTTGTTACTACCAACTGTGATGTGTAGTGTCGACAAACCAACATCTTTTGTTAGCTAACAACAGTGTGTACTGATGTAATATGTAAATATTTCATTTTACTGTGACAAGTTCAAACCGGAAAAATTCACCGATGTGATATGATGCTTAATTTACTTATATTTCCACATATAAAGTAACTTATCCCTGAAAATGACTTAATAATGTCCCAAATATCCCAAAAAACCTTTTTGTATGGCAGGGGCTGATGATACCCTGATCGAGCTTTTTAGAATTCAGAATCAGGCAGACCTTCGGTTGTCAATAGCTAAGTAAGTTTGTAACATTTAAAAGAAATATAGTTTACTGTTTAAATTTAAAACCTTACCATCTTTCACCATAAAAACTCTTTTTTACGTCACATTTCTGAAAAGTTTACAATTTCTGAGTTGCTTGGAGTTATTTCAGTCCAAGTTTATTTTAAATAAATACTTAAACTTGAAATACACGGTTCCTGCATGGTTTGTGATGCCGCAGGTCTAGGAAAGACGTTCATCGCTGCCGTAGTCATGTACAACTTCTACCGATGGTTTCCGCAGGGCAAGATTGTGTTTATGGCTCCAACGAGGCCGCTGGTGGCTCAACAGATACGAGCATGCCATGATATCATGGCCATTCCCATAAAGGACACGATAGAAATGACTGGTGAGCACGTAGGGATTGTAGAAAAAAGTTTTGCACTGTTGAGTATACAAAAAATAAAGTATTTGAGGTAAGTTCTCTCTGACGAGAAATTAGTTTATTACTTTATTTTGATATAGAGTTTCTCACCAATAGGTTGCTATTTTTGAATTAATATACCAGATGCATCGAAGGGTTGAAACTCCACATAATAGTACTATTGAATTTTCTTTAAAAATCAGTTTCATTTGCAAAAACACCACATCAAATAAATTTTGGACATTTCATGAAAAATTGATGTAATTAAAGAGATTGGGTAGTGGTAGATCACAATGGCTATGCATTATTTTATCATGCTAGCAAACTTTTGTTGCTCATTGTGTTTTTATTTTAAAGGTCCCCCATTTCCTCTGAATAATTAAAATAATAATGAGACTTGGGGGGAGGGGGTAGTGTCACTTTGTCACTACTTGTGTTGGTGTCCAACAACAGTAACATCTTTGTGAGACACCCCATATGCCTTTAAATCTTTTTTTTTGTTACTGAAATTTGGTAATATTGTAAAAAGGTTAAAATACCTGTAACTGCCTCGTGATTCCTCTATTCCTGTACTGGACTACGCGCGTTTCGATGTATTCACATCATCATCAGGTCACAAACTTGAAGAACTTAAACCATTCTTGAATTGGTCGCGTCAAAGTTTACAAAAAATACACAAAACATTTAAACATTTAAAAAACAGGGACAAAAACTGTAGGCCTACAGACACTGGTGTGCACATGACGGGTGCCGAGTCTCGACTGGTTCAGGAGCTGAACTTTGTCCCCTGGCCGCCTTTATCACGGTCCTTGTCCAACTTTATGAGTGATTCAAATAGAATATTATTTTGCTGAGTGCTTTTGTCATTTAATATGTCCTGGGGATTGTTTTTTGCGGCTTTATAAATTTCAAACTGTTCCAGAGCTGTCATGATCCTGCCTTTGTTGCAAATGTGCAATGGTTTTAAGTTTGTTTCCAAATTACTATAGTTGTGGTTGTTTAGTACCAGATGTTCGGCATAATTAGATTTTTGCACCTTGGAGGCTTTTGGAATGTGTTCTTTAAATCTTTTCTCGAAGGACCGCCCTGTTTGACCTATGTAAAATTTACTGCAGTCGTTACAGGATAATTTATATACTCCGGTTCTCTTGTTAACATCACCACCTGATCCTTTCGTGTTTATAAGCTTATCTAATTTGTTGGAGGTTCTAAAGGATACTATTTTTCCTGTATACTATTGGATACTATTGAAATTTGGTGTTTGGCCAAAAAAAGCCATTTTAAGCTAATGTTATTTTTTTAATCATTTGTTTAGATTGGATCAAGTAAACGTTTTAAACAACATATATTCTTAAAGAATCTTCATTCTCGAGAGTGTATTTGATTCAAAATTTATATGTAATGTAATTGTAGATACCGTAGTTAATTTTACTTAGGAATTAAGGCTTCCACTGTCACTAGCACTGACATTACAAACTTGGTCTTCAGGGTCTGACCGTGTCACAGACATAAATTTATAACTAAAAGCAGACATTTTGCCTTTGTTACCGATGGATTAATTTTACAACCTAACCATTATTTATAGGCTAAGGTAAAATACCTTGTATTTGTTAACAAATACTCAATATCCACTAAAACAACCTTATCATCTTCCATGAAATCAGCCTACAAATAAGTTAAAGGTCAATAACTGCAAACTGCTTTGTGCTCACTGTTCCAACTAAGTTGTTCATAGAATGGTTATAGTCTTCCTGAATCATGTTTCGAGTGATTTTGTCTATGTTTCAACAAACGGAATTTAAATACAATCAGCATTGGCTACCAAATCAAAATAGTAATAACATATAAAAGTGTTAAGCCCAAAATGTTGACAATTGTTTCCATTCTGCAGGTGCCATGCATGCCACTGACCGTCTGCAGCATTGGAAGTCCAAGAGAGTGTTTTTCTTGACTCCGCAAGTCATGGCCAATGACCTACGAACCAAAGCTTGCCCCCCTGCTTGTGGAGCAGCCTTTAAATGTGTTGTTATTGACGAAGCTCACCGAGCCACCAAGGAGTACTCTTATTGCCATGTAAGCTTATGTTTGTGTAGTAATTGTTGTTGAATAGTTGAATAGGCCTATAGTGTCAAAATTTTACTTGTACTTGAATTCATCTAGAGATAGTTGAAGTTGAGTAACATTTTTGTGTCATCAAAAGTAAAGATTTTGTGTTTTGTAAATGTGTGTTATTCTGATTAAGCTCTGTATCAAAGTCATCCGAGAGGGCGTAGTAGGAAATTTGTCGAATGCCGTTGTTGGCCAAGTGATAAAAAACTAACTTTCAAGCGACGTGAGGCCATGTTTGTCAAGTTCATTTTATTTATTTATTCATTTATTCATTCCAACGGCATATCACCAATTTCAATGTGGAGATACAATGACCATGTGGTAATAATGTTATAAAAAAATTTAGATCTAAATTGATTCAACATTTCAAAAACAATGTTATGAATTCCTGTCTCTAGTAATCAGCTGAAGTATTTATTTACTTGTTTGTATTAGAGATTTGTTTACCTTTCCAGCTATGTAAGAATTTAAGTTTATTAAAGCCTTATTTTCTAAAAAGGTTCAGTTATTCACAACAAATTTAATAAACTTAAACTTATCAAGATAATTAAATAATCAAAATCAAAATGGAAAGACTTTTAAAACCAGACAGGTTTGATATTAATCCTGAAAATCCTTCTGCAAGTAGAGCATTCAAACGGGGGGCCACCAGTTGACCGACAAGATACTTGGTCGTCTTGCCACTAGACCGTCTTTTTTAATTAAATAGATAAATACTGAAAACCAGTACGTCGACAAGTTATTTCATCGTCAGTCCAGTTGACCGGCCTGTAAATCTAAATTATTATATACGAGAAACCAACTTATCGTCAATCCTCCCGACCGACTTACCACTTGCTCGTCTTTTAGGTGGGGATGTGTTGAGCGGCAGTGCCAGCGGCGCGCGCAGCTGTGGAGGGCACTGCAGGCGTACCAACTTCTGTATCTTGTAGCGGCGGTTTTCATTCCGACGATTTTCAGCTATCACAATGCAGCGGACTAGCGAGGTTCTTATTACGTGTAATTGTTTGTTTCTCAATCGATATTTTGTTATACACAGTACAGTGAATATAAATAGGCCTATATTAGTTTACTTCAATGAAATAAATGTTTTATTTAGCTAAATAAATAAAAATACGCCGATTGAACAAATAAAATTGTTACAGACAACAGGAAGTCCTTAATATGATCAAAAAAGTGTTTATCTTTATTAAAAAATTACTGAAATTTGTAAACTTACTGCTGGCGACAAGGGTGGTGCCATACATAGGTTTATCAATAAATAAGATAAACATGGACAACCGTATGCAGCTATAAGTCAGGAAACATTTGTAGAAACATTAAAAAGCAATACCAATTTATGAAATATGATAAAATATTTACAGGAAATGTTGATTACTGTATATACATCGTGAGTATCTCCAGCAGTTACACACTGGTGATCTTTGAGTTGACTCTTTTAAACTCATTGATTATTACTTTTTTTCGTTTTGAAATAAATTCTGTATTACTTTGAAATTGCTCGAATTCGAGCAACATGTACACGAGTTTGAATATTAAATTAACTAACATATTTATGTAATAGGAGGGTCAAATATTGTTAACAGTGGTGAGGTAACTACCGTTACATTTATTCAATTGAGAGATAAATACAAATTGATAATACCGGTTATTTAAAGCTTTGTTGTCTATTTTTCCCTCTCTTAAAAAAATAAAATAAAGAATGAATTTAGACTTTTGGTGACATTAGTTTGTACTATTTCTCCTTAAATGACACTGCTGTCTTGGTAAGCAATAGTTATCTCGGTAAACTATTTATTTGCTGAAGTGCACAGTGTGCTACTTAGCCTGAGAAACATCTTTTGTTTTATGATTTTGTTGTAGGCCTATTGAAAACCTTGTCTAGAAGGAATTCCCATTGCCTGTGTTACCGGGGAGAAGTTTTTCTTAGTAAAGTCTGTAGACGTCTTCGGTTTTACACAGAAACATGTAATTATAATTGAAGAAGTACATGTTTTATCCTCTCACGTTGTTGCGTGGACAATACTATGGTGATTCAATTCTGTGTACTTCAATTGTCTAACTGGCCCTAACTGACGCATCCTTGTTTTTTTTTTTTTTTACTAAATAATGTAGTCTTTACTTCCGTGGATCTTTGCGTTTTATTGTTTAACTGTCCTCAAGTAAGTCTGTGTTCTGAGTAAGTACTTCAAATGCACGGCACTACTGTATATTCAGATTTTCTAATGAACCATCATAGATAAAAGGAGTATAGACATGTATGTATGACAGAGTATGTCTACTCCTTTTATCTATGGTACTATTTCCAAGTTCATCTGGACGACCTTGCAAATCGTTTCTATTAAAAAAAATTGTATTTGGTTTATGTTTATGAACTTGTATGAGTGTTGTTAACTAAAGCTAAATTCACATCAAATTAATTAATTTAATTTATTTTAATAGTATTTCTAATTAATTTCAGTTTTAAGAACATATAGTAAATAAATCCTTGTTGAAACGGCTGTACTATCCATGCAATTATTGTCAAACTATATGTTCAAAGATTCCTGGACGGCAATGTTATAATACTAGTTGGAGCAGAGGTACTGGATCTAGGGTTAATACAGTTTTGTGACGTGTAAGGTATATCACTGCAGAAGTAGTTAGCTCAAGAATTATGACGTGGATGACAAAGATTGGTAGCTTTTGCTATAATTATAAAAAAAACCAAGTACATAAAATCATTCACAGTTTTTTTTTTTTCACAGTCTATTGAATAGCCTGCAGTTAAGTTCACTCTAATGAAGAATATAGACGTGGCCAGAGTTCCAAACGATTTAAGCAACAACTGTTTACATGAACTATCCTATATGTAAGTTTTTTTTATAGTGTGCAATGTACTTATTGAATTTTCATTAGTAATATATCATGGCTATATCGTTTATGTAAAAGTATCAAAAGATAGTAAAACGAAAACGAAACAATCAACCAAGACCAGTGACCGAAACAAGTGTCGAGCTGGCGGCGCCGCGCCTACCTCGGGATTCCCCGAGGGCAATAATTCATCTTTGAAGTAACACCGGTAACACTGACTCACTGGCCGACACGGATACCCGCCTACTACCCCCTTTGTGTCGTCACCCTATGACCACCGGTCGGTCGGCCACCCATCCAAGGAAACTGTAGACATCGGCGGCTCTTTGTCGTTCGTTGACCAGCGTATTTTCTAGAGTTGAATGTATACCCTCACTCACACCAGGGAATAAGTAAACTGTAGTAGTTTTCTTGTTTATGAAAATATTTGCATTAAATTAGAAAAAAATCATTTATTTATTTATAAAATGTTATTATTTTACAAAAAAAAACACGCTTTTACCCTCCCTGTTGCAGCAAACCTAAGTACTTGTTAAACTTATTCTATTTAAATATGGAATAACTGTGATATTTTCAAAAAGTCATTTTAGTGTAAATCCAATCAGGCAAATAGAAATTGCTTAGTCTGCAGGTTTGTTGCGGTGGGGGTATATTTCGTCATAAACTCTTTTGCCACTTAAGAATCTTCAATAGTAAAGTGGCAACTAAAACGCGACTCCAGCGACCCAATTCTGGCGGCGCTCTAGAACTACCCGAAGGCCTTTTCCGGTATTACGCGTGCCGCATCACACAAGTAGTTTTCCCGCGCCCCTATTCAAACGCTTGTAGGCGAAGAAAAAGAAAGCGAGTTGACGACCGAGGCTAGGTCGACCCGATCGACTTCGACAGCTGTTTTACTGTCTCTCTCCCTCTCTCTCTCTTTGGATGTGTATCTTTGGATGTGTAGGGTTGGCGAGGGTTGTAAAATTGCTGAAAGTGAAAGGGACGTGGCTGGCGCTACGTTCCTAGTTTTTGGCCTCTTGATGCTAACACTGGGTCGGCTACTCGAGATCAAACAACAGCGTGTGTTTAGTACAAAATTGGGTCCACAGTCACATCTATACTTATTTAATACGCAAGCAGGATTTTTGTGACAATTATTCCTCCGAAACTACTGAACCGATTGACATGTTTTTGGTGTCATTGGAAAGAGCGTAACGTGAAGTTGTGCAGGAAACTTTCTTTTTAGGTAAATAATTAGAGAGTGAGGCCCTGGGACCCTTTAGGCCGGGGCCACACGTGGCGGATCGTCCGCGTGGCTTATGATCGCGCGATCATAAGCCGCGCGAAGGTGTCCCGGCCACACGGGGCGGATGAACCGCTTCCGGTTCGGGGTTGAGGTTTCCCAGCCTACGTACTGAGATTCTAACATGGGTTAATTCACTCGTTCTCGTTGTAGTCATGGAAGAAACACGTATATGTTAGTTTGTGCATTAGAAGCGTGTGGTTAGCTAGAGCCTAAGGAAAACCGAAATCATTGGGTCCATCATTTCATAACCGATAAACCATTTGTGTTCCAAACCTTTTACGGGCACATGCGGAACCATAGTTCGGAGTCTTTTTTGTTACTATCGCATGTAGATAGCATCGTTTGACGAGCTACTTCAATTGCTTTGACCGCATATAACTAAGGAAGATATACTCATGAGAAATGTACAACATGATAAATCCCACATTATCTTTAACAAGTTCTATTGATTTGTCTGTATCGAACATTTTACACCTATAAACCGAAATGCACAAGCACAAACTAAAAAAAAACCACTACAAATGCTTGAAAATGAGCTCCAACCGCGCGGACAATCCGCATCGTGTGGCCACTCTCATAAGACTACGTGTGTCATCCCCTCCAACGCGGCTTATGATCGCGCGGACAATCCGCGACATGGCGCGGACAATCCGCCCAGGCGGCTTAGGATCGCCCCGTGTGGCCACTCTCATTTGATTCAATGTGTTGTCGTGTGTGGATGATCCGCGTCGTGTGGCCCCGGCCTTAGAGTTTCGTATTTCTCCATAAGATTAACACGGGAAACAAACATTGTTTTGAAACTCCAGCTGTTGTCAGGAATTAAATATTAATAATTAGTTGCTCCCCATGGAAGCATGAGAGTTCTGTAGAGTTTGTAGCCTACACCTTATTGTCTACAAATTGGCTAAATAACTTAGGTACAGTACATTATAAAAGCTGACAGACTTTTTATTTTGACTTAAATTGTAAGCTTACCATTTCCCGTCCATGGGCAGTTTGATAGTTAAAAAATAACCCTTTAAACTGGAATAGGACTGTTATGTAAATTGTGAGTATTTCCATTAGTTAATAATCTTTTAGTTGACTCTTTTAAAATCATCGGAAATTATGACTGTTATTAGTTTTTTAACAAGTCATTTGTTTATATGTAACTCCTGTACTTCTTTGCAATTGCTCGATTTCGAGCAACATGTACACTAGTTAAGCTATAATTTTATACAATAGCTAAGATATTCCACATTCCAACCAAATATCTGGCCGAAAGTAGTTTTTGATTGCATTTTAATTTCATTTCATTTCATTTCATTTTTATTAAACGGCAAACACCATTTTACAAGTGAGTTTAACAAGATTACATTGCATTGTGCATTATACATACATATACGACAGAGCCATTTGAAAATGAGCTAAAAACAGTTTCCAGTTTAAACACAAAATCAATAAGACAATCGATAAAAAAAACAACAATAAATAACAATAAAAATAAATAACAATATAGTACATAACAATATAAATAAATAACAATCCCGTTATATTACAAATTATTATATTGCAAGATGTTAATATTCGAGAAGATAATCAATCAACAATAGAAATAACACAAATAATTGAAAGGAATATATCATTAAAAACTATAGAAAACAACAACAAGGAGTAACAACAATTGATAAAGATTTTAAAAAATTTAACAGGGATTAAAATATTAAGAATGAAAACGATACAGTGATAAATCTCAGACAAAAAGAAAAACTTGAATTGACAGAATAATATTGCTTGGCAGTTGGCACTTCCTCTCACTGATTGTGTGGCCCTTTAGAGGCACCACCAAAAACACACTCACTTCACTGCACATGTGGCACTTGAAGTGTGGCCCTCTAGAGGCACCACCAAAAGCACAAAGACTAAAGCTGGATCTGGTCAGCAGCCCACTTAAACACTACTCTCCTAAAGAGTGGCAAGGAAGGCCCGAAGAACTCCAGTTGAGCTGCATTTCCCAGACGAAGTAAACGGGGAACTGTGCTATGGTAAGCGTAGGCAGTTGGCTGGTGATGCTTGGAGAAGGGTCGAGATCTCCGGGTGGAGACTGGGACATGAAAGTTAATCAGTTCAAGAAGTTCAGGACTGTCCACCTGACCATTGATGATCTTGAAGAGTAGTAGAAGATCAAAAGCGGCTCTTCGTGATGTAAGTGAAAGCACACCGTGGTCTACTGCAATCAAGTGGACGTTCACGTCGAGGTAGTTAATGCCATCTCTTACACCAAGCAGCCGGAGAAAGCGCCTCTGGACCATGTTCAGGGAGTTACAGTGGCCAACCTGATAAGATACTTACTTGTAATACTTGTCGTCTTCGTCGTTGACCAATGAAAATTAGATAGACTGCGTCAGAAGTGTGTTGAGGCTTTTTATTGCTCAAATAGAGACCCATCTTGTAACTCTTGAAGAGAGTAGAGCGGCCTTTTCACTAAGCAATCCTTCAGTCGTTTCTTAAAAGCCTTCGGGTTCAGGTTCTTCACCTCATCCGGTAGAGCATTAAAAATCTTCAGGGCTGACTGAGGATACGCTCGCTGTGTCATACCAAGACGACATCGGAGTATGTCCAAATCACCAGCTCTGCGGGTACCGTGGTCATGGTGACTCCCTCTTTTTCTAAAGTCTTCGAGGTTTACTCTTAGCATAGTTAAGATGCTGTAGATGTACTGACTGAAGACGGTGAGGATCTTCAAGTCAATAAATAACGGCCTACAGTGGTCCAAATGGCCAGAATTGGACACAATCCTAACTGCCCTCTTCTGAAGAAGTAGTAGGTCCTGAGTATCTGTAGAATGTCCCCAGACCACAATCCCATACACAAGGTGGCTGTGAAAGAGCGCGTGGTAGACAGTTACCAAATGTGACTTAGTCAACACAGATTTGAGCTCTCTGAGAAGATGGCACACTCTAGACAGCTTGACACATACCTGAGATATATGGTGATTCCAGGTTAACTTCGGGTCAATCCAAAAACCCAATAGCTTAACAGCACTTTCCTCCCTTGCGTCCGTCTTCAGAGTACACAAAATCGACTTGGTTTTCTCGTCATTAAGCTTTAGTTTGTTCATATTGAACCACACTTTGGCCTGTTCAAGGAGATCTTGGGCTTCAGTCCGTAACCGTGGAATATCGCCCCCTCTGGATATGAGCGTGGTGTCATCTGCAAAGAGCAATGTAGAGCCATTAAGCCAAAGGTCATTAATCATGATCGAGAATAGCAGCGGTCCAAGCACCGAACCCTGCGGTACCCCGTGGGTTAAACTTTTAATACTGGACGAGGCCCCATTTACCGAAACCAGCTGTTTTCTATTGGCAAGATAGCTAGAAACTGTCTTTAGAGCTGTACCACCAACTCCATATTTTGTCATTTTAGAAATAAGCACATCATGTGACACCACATCAAACGCCTTGCTTAAGTCGCATAGACTTAGCAAGACTGAAGACTTATGTTCAAATGCATCAATTATAGTGTTCATAAGGCTGAGTAAAGCACTGGTAGTTGATCTACCCCTCCTAAAGCCATGCTGTGCATCAATCAGCAGGTGGTTGTGCTCTAGATAGGATACAAGTTGAACTTGAATTACGGTCTCAAAGATCTTAGAGAATACCGGAAGTATTGAGATTGGGCGGTAGTTTGATACAAGTGAGGAATCTCCTCTCTTGAAAACAGGTATTGTACGGGCCGTTTTGAGTATGTCTGGAAAAACACCTACCTCAAGACATGCATTTATAATTTTAGCAAGTGGGGGTGCTATAATCTCAATAACTGATTTCAATACATTACAAGACATCCCAAATACATCTTGGCTTTTAGAAGTTTTGAAGTTTTTCACCATAGATATAATTTCATGAGCACTCACCTTGCTCCAGGTGTCAAGTGTTAGTGTTGATGAGTGGTCTGTTACTTCCAGGGTAGGATCACTCTGTAATACAGGCAAACTATTTACAATATCACTAGCTATATTAACAAAATAGTCATTGAAATCGTCAGGGCTTGTTAAGATCTTAGGCCTTGTTCCTGTCTGCCGTCTAGCGTTGACTATGTCCCAAGCGGCCTTACATGGGTTAGGTGCCGAGTTTATGATGTCACCAAAGTGACTCTTCTTTGCTTCATTGACTTTGGAGGAATAATCCCTTTTTACCTTACGGTACAAATCATAAAGGGTTTTTTTCCTAACTTCATCTAAACATTTTTTGTGGAGATCGTTTAGCAAAAGAACGTATGAACGTATTTTAGAGAGCTCAAGCGTGTACCAGTGCTTATCTTTGAAAGAGTTAGGCTTGATTTTATTTGACAAATTGAGAGACTGTCTAGGCTTATAACTTCTAGATGGGAACACACTATCGAACAGTTCCTTGAAAATTTCAAAAAAGTTTGAAAACCTCTGATCAGGGTTTAGAGATGTGTCAGGTAAATTCCAGTTTGAGAGACATTTCAGCTTTTGGTTCAAGACACCTAGGTTACTTTCGTCAATTTTACGCTTTACAAATATATATTTATCCTGCCATGAGATAGGCATTGGTCCTGTACTCACCAGATCCGCCACAATCATTAGGGAGACTGCTCCGTGGTCAGCAACAACAGGTTCAGTGACTTTCACTGCATATTCCCAGGAGTTAAGGTTTGTCACTATTGTGTCCAGGCATGCCATGTTTCTGGTAGGTTCTCTTGATGTAATGTACAACCCATAGCTTCTTAAAATATTAGTAAATGAGGCCTCCTCTTTTGATGGGAACTCAAGATGGATGTTGAAGTCGCCAGCAAGAAAGACATTTTTACAGTTGAGCCTAGTAATATAGTTCAGACACAAGTCAAGTTGGTGGAAGAAATTTGATAGGTCACCAGTTGGGGATCTGTAGACCGATATCACTATTGAAGATAAGTCTAATAGCTGCACTGCAGCAAGTTCCAGGTCCATCTCAACACTAAATTCATCAAGGTCAATAGGTTTAAAATTCAGACCATTGCGGACAAAGATTGCAGAGCCCCCGTTTCTGTGACATGAGCGGTAAAATGCACTTCCAAGGTGAAGATTGTCGATACTAAGATAGAGGTCTGCTTCCTCTTTAGTTAACCAATGTTCGCAAACACCCAAAATATCACATCCAATTTCTCTGGCAAAGAGTGAAACCAGACTAGATTTATTTCTAAGACACTGTACATTTAGGGAGGAAATTATTAGCCCAGCATTATTGGTACCCGTTACTTCCGCTTTTTGTTTTATACTGTTAGGCCTAGTACAATTAGGCAGAGAGCCAGTGGGCGGATTTTCAGAGGTAGACTCAGGCTGGTTGTTAATTATAGTTGGTGTAGGCCTAGGCCTATCATTGCTAGACTTAGTTGAATGTGTATTATTTACAATATGTACAGATAAGAAATTGTCTTCAGGGCCTATGTTACAAGGCTGGCCGGGGCTCTCCTGAATAAAAAACGTTTAAGTATAGCATTTTTTGGCCAGGAGGCACTTTGGAACAGTTCATCTTTTCGATCAAAATCTACACCTATCTTAAAGCTAGCGTTAGGTCCTTTTGACTCTAGTTTTTCAACAACAGGAGAGATGCCTGTAAATTTTGAAGTAACAAATTGGTTCACTGTCTCTACAGAAGTACTATTGTTTAGCCTACCCAAGTAAAACCAAGCTTTTTTATTACCTGATAGAGTTTTATCCTCACAAGTTCCAACAATTACAGGGACAGAGTTTAGGTTAGGTCTGGATCTAGGGTTAAGTTTCCCTTTCACTGTAGTAGTACCACTCTTCTGTTGAGGTTTAGCCTTCTGCTGGTGTGAAGATGAAGAATTTGACACCTGGTCGTGATCACGATCTTGCTTTGAGCCACAGCCTTCGCGATCAGAGACTCTAGCAGTATTGGGAGCAGAGTTAGTGCTATGTGAAAGGCCTAGCCCTTTTCGGCGGTACTTATTTCGCTGAACTTTCCATCCATTGTCATGTGAGAGGTTTGGGAAATTTTCTTCGTTTAGCAAAAGTATCTCATCAGCCTGGGTAGGGTGTGAATCTATGGCAGTTGTATTATTTCCAGAGGTTCCAGGACTAGAGAATAGGCCTAGGTCAGGGGTTTCAATTTCATTTTCAATCATCTTCGATACATTAAGTGACTCCTGGGACTTCTGAGTACAATTTACTGATGGTTTCACTGGAGATTTATCCTTATTTTGCTGTCCTAAATGGACTATGTCACCGATAATATCAGCATGTGAGTGTAGCATCGATTTGATTGTCGTTTGCTCAGAACCCAGAGCATTCACATTTTCAGACATGGTTTTATAGTTAGCAGATAGATTTGAAATTTCGTCAGTTATTATTTTTATATAACTAAAACATTCACAGCAGAGAGGTTTCTCGTTGTCTTCAATTTTGTTGTCATGAATTACTGAAGGAGACGTTTTCACAGAGTCAAGCCATGAGATACAGTCCGGGCAAAGCCACACGAAAATGTCATTAATTGACTTGAAATTGTTGTAATCCATTTCAGAGATTTGGGAACAACTAATATGAAAAGACTTTTGACACTTTCCAAAACACTTTATCGCTTTACTACGCGTATTTAACTTTATATTACAAGAGCCACAATTATTAGGTGCGTCACCGGGCGCCATCTTGCTTACTTTTTTCAAGGAGACCACACAGGAGAAGCATACTCCAAGATGGGACGGACAAGAGAGTTGTACAAGACCTTCACTGATGCTGTAGATAGAGAACCTCTAGAAGACCGGGCTATCAACCCAAGAACAGAATTAGCTTTGGAACAGATTTTCGCAATGTGAAGTCCAGGATCCAAGCAAGGAGTGAGATGAACTCCAAGATCCTTAATCGATAGGGTCCTATCCAGTTGCGCACCGTGAAGATAGTAGTTGAAGGACAGCAGCATTTTGGTTCTTCCAAAAGTCATCACCTGACATTTTTTTGCATTCAGTTGCATGGAATTATCCAAACACCAATTTTCAATTTTCCTCAGATCTTGTTGAAGCTCAATTTGTTGTTGGGTGGATGTGACCTCGGTGAAAACTTTAACATCGTCAGCAAAAATCAGGAACTTGCATGCAAGAGGCTTCGCAATATCGCAATTGAATAATTTGTAACGAATCGAATTAAACCACGAATCGGACATACCATGATCCGTATGTCAAAATGTATGTTTTAATAGGTGAGGAATCCGATTATGGTATTTTTAAACTTTCGAAAATGTATGGTTTAGGCTGTAGAGATAAAATTACGGTGAAAATTAAATATATAATTTAAACGATTTTTTGTGTTGAAATTCTAAAATAAAATTCTTAACTCCTACCCCAAAATATACCGATTCATAATGTTTATTACAACTATGATCGATGATGTAGCCATAAGGTCGATACAAATTCTTATATTTCGCGCGACGAATATGAAAATATATAGATTTTTATTAAGGAACGGATTGTACAAATATATTGATCCGTATGTCGAAATGTATGTTTTAGTAGGTGAGGAATACGATTTTGGTATTTTCAAAGTTTCGAAAATGTATGGTTTAAGCTGTAGAGAGAAAATTACGGAGAAAATCAAATATTGATTTTAAAAGATTTTTTTGTGTTGAAATTCAAATATAAAATTCTTAACTCCTACCCCAAAGTATGCCGATTCATAATGTTTATTACAACTATGATCGAAAATGTAGCCATAAGGTCGATACAAATTCTTATATTTCGCGCGACGATTATGACAATATATAGGTTTTTATTAAGGAACGGATTGTACAAATATATTGATCCGTATGTCAAAATGTATGTTTTAATAGGTGAGGAATCCGATTATGGTATTTTTAAACTTTCGAAAATGTATGGTTTAAGCTGTAGAGAGAAAATTACGGAGAAAATGAAATATTGATTTTAAAAGATTTTTTGTGTTGAAATTCAAATATAAAATTCTTAACTCCTACCCCAAAATATGCCGATTCATAATGTTTATTACAACTATGATCGATAATGTAGCCATAAGGTCAATACAAATTCTTATATTTCGCGCGACGATTATGAAAATATATAGGTTTTTATTAAGGAACGGATTGTACAAATATATTGATCCGTATGTCGAAATGTATGTTTTAGTAGGTGAGGAATACGATTTTGGTATTTTAAAAGTTTCGAAAATGTATGGTTTAAGCTGTAGAGAGAAAATTACGGAGAAAATCAAATATTGATTTTAAAAGATTTTTTTGTGTTGAAATTCAAATATAAAATTCTTAACTCCTACCCCAAAGTATGCCGATTCATAATGTTTATTACAACTAACTATGATCGAAATTTAAACTGTGTCTATTTAAACTGTGCGTGACACAATGATGATAATATCTTACTTTTGTCATTTTTGGCTAGATAAGCTAATACGATAAAAATCAATGGCAACGTTATTAAGAAATGTAAGCATTTCAAGTTGATCGAATAGTGGAACTAATTATGTGGAATGTTTGCTGAATAGCATTAGACACTGTGACGTTTGACTTATTTCCAAAGTCAACGAACACTGATAACCAGTGCAAATTTTAATCCAATATACCATGTGGTCCTATTGTGGTTTAATGTCAAATGCTCTTTCATTTTCAAGATGAGCTCGCTCGCATCAATCAAACACGTCCTGGTTGATGTTCGTTTACTACGCTCAATCCGGATATTGTGGCTACACAAATACCAATAAAAATAATCAATTATAATCAGCTATTCGCTTAGTTAATTTTGAAATATTTAAATTGTTCAGATCAGACAAATTGACAACAAAAATTGCGTTGTAAAAAGTCACTATGAGATATTGCTGATGAAGGTATGCGAAGGGGTGGCAAGGTCATCCAACGCGGCTTCTCTTTCATCTACGCAGTTCTAGGCTTCTCTGGACTTCCCCAATACTTTCGTTCTCACGCCGATGAAGGACAGGTCAGGTTGATTGGAAATGGAAAGAAGTTGTAAAAGGTGCTTGTCATATTTATGATAGTCTCTATTCATTTAGGGCTTATAAGGGTGTTGTTAAGTTAGGGAAAGCAGACGCGGTGGCGTTCTTTTGAAGATATTGACCGCCCTAGTGGCAAGTCCCGCACCCGTGGACTTTCCCCGAGGCTTCGGTTCTCACAGTGATGTACGTCCAGAGAATTGTAAATTAAAACTGATTTATATAAGTTCCTCGTTATTTTTACGATAGTACCTTACCTATTCGGTGAAGGTTTTTAGGGGTGTTCTTAAGTAAGAGAATAGGGATGACAGACACGGTGGCGTTCTTTAGAAGTGGTAGGTCCCGCTCCCGTCAACTTAAATATTTGAAGGGTTTGGTAGTTTTTTTGTTTGGAGCAAATATAAGCATTTGTCAATTATATAAGGCAAGGACTATACAGATCTTAGCATACACAGCATATACAGCATATACAGACATTATTTTCTTCCGCGTTCTCTTCCCATTGCGATTACTTATATAGTTAAGTCTTTTTTGTTTTACTTGCGATATCAGTAATGCTCCATATTTATTATGTTGCCAATTTATTGTTAATTTGTATTTTTCAAGTTTCTATGTTAGTTTTACCTGATATTCTCACAGCAATGGCCTTTTCGAACAGAAACAAGTAATATTGGCACGGGCTTGGAAATATGTTTCAAATCAGGCGAAAGTACTTGGAATCACACGATTAGCCGACATTTATGTTATAGAAAGGATTTCATGTGTTCTAAATAACAATCTCTCTAGACATCGCCAGAAGTTATTTTACCATCCATGCGATTCGGGCAACTTTGTCTAGCGATCCTTTAAGCTCGTGATACCCAACATCTGTTGACCGTTATTAAGTCACTGGTATCGCGGTTGGTTAGCAAGTATTCCTTTGGTTAGTAATACATCATAAAACCCAAATACATTAAATAATCAATGCTCAATAGCATTCATAGGAATGCCCTTTTCCTTTGTATTGTATTTTGTAATTTGTTACTCTAGTATAGACTAGTTGTTTCCAGTTAATATTAACTATACAGTACCTATTTAAAAATCATTAAAAAAATTTAATTACCTTTTAACTTCTCAATACAAAAAAAGGAAGAATTTTAAGCGCTTAACTTTTAACTAACCGTAAATAAAAATCTTAAGCTCAATACTGTTTTAATAAAGGTTTTAACAGAGTAGGCTTAGAATACTGACTGACAGACCAGTTAAAATGTTTATCTTACTTTTAAAATGTTAAATAAGAAACTCTTCACATACCATGTCTTTTTGTAAACACTCTAACGTCTTCAGCCAAATGACCTTGGTTTCGTTGTTCTTTAACCATTATTTTTAGATCATCAAAAGCGCGGCATCTTGAAATTGTTACGTACAATTCCCCATGCTGTAAGCAGGGGATGCAGCTCTAGCAGATAAAGACCAACTTTTCGAGGACGAATTTTAGAGGAACACTCGTTTTCCAGCTGAACTTCAAGTAATAATTTCAAGACTTCATCATTCATAACTTTCGCCATTAATCTGGTTCTATTAACCAGTCCTTTTTTTGGATTTAATTTTCTTAGTAAAATTACAATTACACCTTTTTTGACATCACTTGCGAGGAGGTAAACCCTTATCGAGGAGGAAAATATGTCATTCTGAACAGTGTACAGACAAAACTCTAATTTTATTTGCAGATATTTTATATACAGCACCATTTGATACTGTATTTTTTCACTTCTATAACAGATTTCGTTTCTCATCACGCTTGATGAACGACTTATACACCTAATAACAACTTACTTAAATAGGCAATCCTAACGAACTACTGTTGCAGTAAACTTAACTGTTACACATGTTTGAAATTTACAACATCTTGCATAATTACAATACTTTGTGCCTGTTGGCTACTATGAATCGTTTGGATTAATTTAAGATATTAAACTTTTTTGATATAGGCCTACACAAGGTAAATTGACCTCCATGTTACCCAAAATTATACACAGGTCCTATATATATACTAGTGTACATGTTGCTCGAATTCAAGCAATTGCAAAGTATTACAGGGGTTATTTCAAAACCAATAACAGTCATATTTAAAAAAGTTTAACTCAAAGTTTAAAAAGAGTTTAAAAAGAGTCAACTCAAATATTAACATTGTGTAACTCAGACCCTGATTACCTAAATCCCTGATCTTCGTTATTGATAAACCTTAAGCATTCCGGCTGGTTTTCTCCTTCTCAAAATGCCTTGCTGTACAGGCAACACATGTCATTGATAGAGGGTCAAATTGAGAACGAAAAGTCTTTTAGGGGTAGTGTTAGCTCGCATTCGTAACCTAATAGTTGAGATTGTCCAGGGTCAGGTGCTGACGTGTACGCCTCCTTTCTATGTTTCGTTGTTGTCGCGTCGGAGGCATTTAAAAGAAAAAAACAACAAATAAACAAATTATAGCTACACAAAACAACGATAAATGCACAAATTTAAGTTACAATCATGCTAACACGATCTGTCATAGCGACACAAAGCAACGATAAATATATAAATTCAAGATACAACCATACTAACACGGTCCGTTTTCGTTTTGGGGGTTATGTTTACACAAACTCAAATAGTAAATAAATTTACTCAATGCGTTTCATTGAATCGAAAAATAATAACAGTAATTAAATTATACAGCTGATCAAAATGTAAACAATTATGTTCGTCATAAGGATAACATGGGAACTTTCAAAGCCACTGGGGCAGAACCCAAGGGACTTTGTAAAAAATGTAAGGCCAGTTGGCAAATCTACGCGACACGCTCTTTCCAATGAGATGTCAATGGATAAAATCGGTTAAGAAATGGCGGAGGAGTTCAACCGACAAAGTTTCATGTAGCGTATTAATTATATATATATATACACCATATTACCACACTACAAATGTAATTCTACAATATACGGTACGTAGTTTTATCCAAACAAACGATCAAAACCCCCTAATGATATTGTTATTTGATTCAATAGTCAATGCACATAAGCGAGTCTTATCTTTCAAAGCAGATTAAATAATACAAAGGCAGAGGAATGCGCGAGAACGAGGTCACTTCACGGTTGCTATAGAAACGACGAAACTATCCATTAGAATTGCGCGCCAACGTCAACTAAACTCCAGACTGTATAAACACGCCGAGTGTGTAGTGTTCGACGGAGCTAGGCTACTTTCAGTTGGCAAGACTGGCTTCTAGCCTCGAGCGACGTGGTTCAACCACGAGAAGCGCCTCAAACTCCTGGGTAATCCCCGGTTAGCTCCTCCCACTCTGCCCCCTATCCCCACCTAAAAGACGAGCAAGTGGTAAGTCGGTCGGGTCGATTGACGACAAGTAGGTTTCTCGTATATAATAATTTAGTTTTACAGGCCGGTCAACTGGAATGACGATGAAATAACTTGTCGACGTACTGGTTTTCAGTATTTATCTATTTAATTAAAAAAGACGGTCTAGTGGCCAGACGACCAAGTATCTTGTCGGTCTACTGGTAGGCTCCCCATTCAAACATTGGTTCAGGACACTTGAAAATTTCATATCTGACTCAGAAGTTACTGAAGAGAGTAAACTTAACGTGTTGATTAATTTTCTTTCTTACAATGTCTACGAGTATATTTCTGAATGTTCCACGTTTAAGTCAGCAGTTGAAATTTTGCAAACTATTTATAATCCTAAGAAGAATGAAATTTATGCTCGACACATGCTAGCAAACCGCAAGCAGAAGAAAGAAGAAAACATAGACAAGTATCTACAAGAGCTTAAACTTCTAAGTAAGGATTGCAATTTTCGTGCCATAGATGGAAATACTTATCGAGATGAAGCCGTTAGAGATGCCTTTATAAGTGGAATTATGAACCCCCAAATTCGACAAAGACTACTAGAAAAACCGTCCTTGACATTAAAAGAAGCTGAGGACATTTCACGTTCACTTGAGTCTGCACAGAAGAGCTGTGAAGCATATAGATCTCCAAACCAAATTGAAGTTACATACTGCAACACTTCGTCAACACTACCAGATCAACTGGATGAAAATATAGATCCTGAAGAGTCTCCTACTTCAGCAGCTGTAGCGAAAAACTTTAAACAGAAGTGTTTCTACTGCGGTGGCCGGCGTCATTTTACTCGAAACGACTGTCCTGCCAAAGATGCTACTTGCTCTGGTTGTAAGAAAAGGGGACATTTTGTGAAGGTATGCAGGTTGATGAAAGCTCAAGGTAAGACCTTTAATGCCTCTTCTTTGGTAGTAACCACACTTTCATGTGCAGCTGCCTCCAATGGACTGTCAAAAGCAGTTGTGCGGGGTTATGCGAATAAAATTCCTGTTGAAGTTTTGGTTGATACTGGAAGTACCGATAGTTTTATAAACCGAGCTGTGGTAATTGAAAATGGTTTTCATGTAATTCCAGAACGGAAACAGGTATCTATGGCTTCCACTAACCTTAAGTCACCTATCAAAGGTTATGTTTCTGTGAACTTAGAGTTCTCTGACCATAACTATGAGAGAGTACAACTGTTTGTTATTGACAATCTGTGCACTGACATATTGGTTGGTCATGATTTAATGAAACTGCATTCTTCAGTGAACCTAGATTTTGGAGGAGATAAGTTACCTCTGTCCATTTGTAATGTTGCCTGTGCTTCTGTAGAACCACCACGCTTTTTCATAATCTATCACCTGACTGTAAGCCCATTGCAACTAAGTCTCGTAGGTATTCTAATGATGATGAAAAGTTCATCAACACTGAAGTGCAAAAACTCCTTCAAAGTGGTATAATTGAAGAAAGTTCATCTCCCTGGCGTGCACAAGTGCTTGTTACCAAAAGCTCAACTCATAAAAAGCGATTAGTAATAGATTATAGTCAAACTATAAATAAGTTTACCCTATTAGATGCCTACCCCTTGCCTAATATTGAAAACATAGCTAGTAAAATAGCAGAAAATAAAGTATTCAGTACTATAGATTTAAAGGAGGCTTACCATCAAATACCAATATCGGAACATGAAAAATGCTTCACAGCATTTGAGGCAGCAGGAAAACTTTATCAGTTCTGTAGGGTTCCATTTGGTGTAACAAATGGTGTGTCTGCTTTTCAGCGCACGATTGATAAGATTATTTCCACTGAAAAACTAGAAGGGGTGTGGGCTTTCATTGATGACATAACCGTAGCCGGAAAAACTCAGTCAGAACATGATGAAAGGCTGAATAAATTCTTAAAGGTAGCTAAGAAATATAATATTACTCTAAACAATGAGAAGAGCAAATTTTCTCAAGACATAATATCAATCTTAGGATATCAAATTCGCTACCAGTCTATGCAAGCAGATCCAGATCGTCTGAAACCCTTGTTAGATTTACCATTGCCAGTTAATGCATCTCAATTAAAACGTGCATTAGGAATATTTTCTCACTACTCAAAGTGGGTTCCTAAGTTCTCAAACAAGATTCGGCCTCTGATTGATTGCAAATCTTTTCCTATATTGTCCTCATCTTTGCCAGCTTTGGCTTTTCAGGAAATTAAACAAGACATAGGAAAATCAATACTCACCGTGATTGATGATAATTCTCCATTAGTTGTGGAAACAGATGCATCAGACTTCGCTATCGCTGCCACGTTAAGTCAAAAGGGTAGACCTGTCGCTTTCTTTTCAAAAACATTGACAGATTGTGAAAAACGTCATTCGTCTATTGAGAAGGAAGCCCTAGCCATAGTCGAATCTCTAAAGAAGTGGAGACATTTCCTCATTGGGCGACATTTTCTATTAATCACCGATCAGCAGGCTTTGTCGTTTGTGTTCAACAGTCGACATACTAGTAAAATAAAGAATGAGAAAATCACTAGATGGCGTCTTGAGTTGTCACCTTATTCTTTTGACATACAGTACAGACCAGGTAAAGAAAACGTTACCGCAGATGCATTTTCACGCGTTTGTGGAGCTGTCACAAACATAAATTGTGATGACAAGCTTTTTGCACTTCACCAGTCACTTTGCCACCCTGGAATCACTAGGATGTACCACTGGGTAAAAAGTAAAAAACCTTCCTTACTCGGTTGAGGATGTTAAAACAATGACAAACAAATGCCCAATGTGTGCAGAGATTAAACCTCGTTTCTATAAAACTACAAATGCTCACCTTATCAAGGCCACAAAACCTTTTGAGCGACTTAATGTAGATTTTAAGGGTCCTTTGCCATCTTGCACACGAAATCAATATCTATTGACAATAATCGATGAATATTCACGCTTCCCTTTTGCATATCCATGCAGTGATATGTCCTCAAACACAGTAGTTCGCTGTTTAGAAAATCTATTTTCAATAT